GGTTTAAGTGACCAAAATAAATTTTTAAAAATACATTTTAGGCCGTCTCCTTGAGCCTTTTCTCAACAGACAGAATAACTAAAATAAAGTCTTTACAGTGATCAATATTGTAAGCAATTAGCAGCAGCCTTGGGCTTTTCTTGTGTTTACCGTATATTTTATTAATGCTCCAAAAAGGCTTCAGTTTGAGCTCTAATGGGCTGAAATGTCTTCTGGTTGCTGTTGGTCATCAGTCATTGTCTGTCAAGCTGAGTCCACTGAACTCTGGGAACCGACAGGTCCAATCAATCAACTAAAAGAAAACAGCCAATCAGTGAAAGAAAATGGTGACTTTTTGCCATTACTGATGACCCTTCCTCTCAGTTCACTACCTGTAAGCTTTTTATTGCCATAAATTGACTATTTTAAGAACAAATGCCATACATTTGATGGTTCACGCTTCTGTCAGGTATGACTGTAAACGGAGTAATCTGGGAGTTTGGTAACAAAAGATAAACATGAATTATTGCTGTGAAACACTGAATGTCACAGCTTTTAAAAATCTCAATTCTTCTGTTTAGAGCAGAAGAATGACAGTTTCATTATCACCTATTCCACCCAGAGAAGATCTGACGAGGGCAGATGATGAACAACACTTCATAAAAACATTTTTAACGCGACAATAACTGATTATTTAAATAAGGAAGTGATTGTCAGGTTATTTGCAGCTCAAACAAAAATACCCATCACAACGTGTCATGATTTCCTCTAACACAAGTCAAAAATCTAAGAACAAATTTCATTTGTAAAAATACATTTTTGCCATCTGACTCTATATTGAAGATATAAAGAATAACATGATACATTAATTTTTTGAATACATAAGCACAGCAAACGAGCCCTGTAGGCATGGAAAAAACCGTGTGTACAGTGGGTTCTTGCTACTATATAGATACCGTTCACGGTAATATCGATACAATGTTAGGCAATGATATGAAAATCAAATATCGCGATAGAATATGGGTAAAACGCGCATGTGCAGTGCCTTTGTTTTCATGCGCACATGGCAG